ATGGAAACTAATCAAGGAGAGAAGCAACCTGGAACTAAGGAGAAACTTCCTGACAGTGAGACCAATTAACCAGTGGAACAGCTTGCCACCAGAAGTTGTGGGTGCTGCAGGACTGGAGGTTTGCAAGAAGAGATTGGACAGCCATTTGACCACGATGTTATAAGGACTCCTGCCTTGGGCAGAGGTTGGACTAGAGGACCTCCAAGGTCCCTTCAAACTTATTCTGTAGTCTGTATCCACACAACGGTTGCAGCATTCCCCATGATCACGTGGTCAAAATTCATTAATAATCAACCAATGGAACGGCTTGCCTTTGAAATAATAATGATGATAAAAAGTTGAGAGGGACCTTGGAGGTCATCTAGTCCAACCCCTTGCTCAGGCAGGAAACCCTACACCATTTCAGACAAATGGCTGTCCAGTCTCTTCTTAAAAACTTCCAGTGTTGGAGCATTCACCACTTCTGTTCCACTGATTAATTGCCCTCCCTGTTAGGAAGTTTTTCCTTAATTCCAGGTTGCTTCTCTCCTTGATCAGTTTCCAACCATTGTTTCTTGTCCTGTCCTCTGGTGCTTTGGAGAATAATTTCGACCCCCCCTTCTTTCTGGCAGCCGGCCCCAAATACTGGAATTCTGCTCTCATGTCTCCCCTGTTTCTTCTTTTCTTTAGACTAGCCAAACCCAAGTCCTGCAGCTGTTCTTTGTGTGTTTTAGTCTCCAGGCCTTTTGAGAAGTTGTGGGTGCTTCATCACTGGAGGTTTTTAAGAAGAGATGATGCTGGCTGGGGCATTCTGGGAGTTGAAGTCCACCAGTCATAAAGTTCCAACGTTGGACACCCTGCCTTCTGCTCAAGCAGGGGGTTGGACTAGAAGACCTCCAAGGTCCCTTCCAACTCTATATTCTATATTGTGCATACTTGGATAGCATCAGAGGGAGTTTTAAGACGTATATTTTTCCTGTCACCTGAGCACAGAACTGAGACTGTCGGATCACATGCTGCACTGTGAATTATTTTCCCAGCTGACCAGTCAAGCCTGCTGGGCATGTTTTTGTGTGTATGTGTGTGTGTTTGTGCAGGCGGGAGAAAACCCAATCAGTTTCAGAGGACGAGCAGTGTCTTTATCAGATCTGTTCACCTACATATTTTCTTGCAAAAGGATAGAGTCACACACACACACACACACACACACACACCAATTCTCTTCCCCAACCGGCTGCTTGAACATGTTTGAAGGTGCCAGAGTTTTGTCTCCGCACGCCCCAGCCATTGTTTTCCCTCTGGGTTGGCTTCCCTGGAGGAACGCCTCTCCGGGAAACCTGTTGGCCCTGTCTGGGCTGGTGGACGTGGTGCCACATCGATTGAGTATTCATTCAGTCCATTATTATGACCCTGCATAACTCCTGTGAATAACTGCAGTCTTCATTTATTCGGGCGTTTTATTCAATACGCGTGCCCGTCTCAACAAGTGACTTTGGGCGGGCGGATAACCGTAAAACAAATCAAAGCAATTCCTGCCACTAATACAATGATTAAAGTACAAAGCAGCAGCAGCAGCAGCTGAGGTATCATTCTCACTACAGTTTTCTTACAGTTAAAACACCAAGCAATGTAGAGAAGGAAAGAGAGAGACAAAAGAAAGCAAGAAAGAAAGAAAGGAGGGAAGGAAGGAAGGAAGGAGAGAGAGAGGAAAGAAGGAAAAGGAATTAAAAGTAAAGAGAAAGCAAAAAGGAAGGAAGGAAGGAAAAGGGAGCAAGGTAAAGAAAAGGAAGGAAAAGAAAAAAGGAGGAAAGGAAAAGAAATAATAAGGGAAAGGGGAAAGAAAGAAAAGGAAGAGAAAAATTAAAGAGAAAGCAAAAAGGAAGGAAAGAAGGAAAAGAAAAGGATGGAAGGGGGAAAAAAGGAAGGGAAAGAAGGAAGGAAGGAAAAAAAAGGAAAAGGAAGAATAAAGAAGGGAAAGGGGAAAGAAAGAAAAGGAAGAGAAAAATTAAAGGGAAAGCAAAAAGGAAGGAAAGAAAAGGAAAGAAAGGAAAAGAAAAGGAAGGAAGGAAAGAAGGAAAATAATACCTAAAAAGCCCCCCCCCCCAGTTTGGTTGCTGCCAGGGGCACCTTCAGGAATAGCCCACTTGGCAGCGGGGGGGGGGGCGCCAGGGAAGGCTCCCTTTCGCTTGCCAGGGGCCCCTCTTCAATGTTGGCTTCCTCGCTGCCCTTTTGAGGTCTTGGCCCCTCCGGTGGGTGCAATGGAGGGCGCTTCCCCTGCCTCCGAAGAGACCCCCTTTGCCCCCCAACCCCTTTCAAAGACGCCCCACAGGGTCAGCCCGAATGCCATTACTCGCCCTTTGTCTGCCTGTTCTTCACACCCTCTGCACAAAGGCAGGGAGGAGGAGGAGGGGGGCCGGCGATGGGCCAGGGCCAAGCCTCTTGGAGGGCCCCCTCCCCACAGGAGCCTGCCAGGGCCGGGCAGACCCCATGGGGGGGGAGAGGGAGGGAGGGAGGAGACCCCGTGGAGGCTCTGGTGGCGCCAGCCCCACTCCAAGGCAGAACAGCAGGCTGTGGGGTGTGTGTGTGTGTGTGTGTCCTGGAGGTTGGCAAACAGGCTGAGTGCTGGCAGCCAATTCTGCCCCCCCCAGCTGAATGTTGGCTCCTGCAGGGGAGGGGGCAAAGGTCTCTTTCTTTCTTTCTTTCTTTCTTTTTTTCTTTTTCTTTCTTTTCTTTTCTTTCATAATGAATTTTTATTTATTTCCAAGATTAAAATTCAATCTTTCTCTCTCTCTCTCTCATATGAATTGGTATTTATTTCCAAATTTAAAATACAACTTTCTTGTTTGTTTGCTTTTCTTTCTTTCTTTTTCTTTTTCTTTCTTTCTTTCTTTCTTTCTTTCTTTCTTTCTTTCTTTCTTTTTCTTTTTGGATAATGAATTTTTATTTATTTCCAAGATTAAAATACAATCTTTCTCTCTCTCTCTCATATGAATTGGTATTTATTTCCAAATTTAAAATATAACGTTCTTGTTTGCTTTCTTTCTTTTTCTTCTGTCTTTTTTTTTCTTTCTTTCCTTCCTTTTTTCTTTCCTTCCTTTTTTCCTTCCTTCCTTCCTTCCTTCCTTCCTTCCTTCCTTTCTTTTTCTTTCTTTCCTTTCTTCCTTTCTTTCCCATTCCTGCCCTTCTACCTGCCTACTTACTTTTCTTTTCTTCCTTCCTTCTTTTTCTTCTCTCTTCACTTTTGCTTAATTTTTGTTCGTTCTACTTATATTGTACCCGATAATAAATGTATAATAAAAACAAATAAAAACTCGCCCATCTCCTTTCAGGGCCCATCCGCTGCCAGAGAGAGACAAGCTTGCTGGGTGGGCCTCAGAGGGGGCGCAAACCCCCTCCCCACCCCCCTTGGGCAAAGGGTTCGAAACCCACACCTCCAACCTGCAAGGAAGCACCGAAGTTGCCTGATTGACGTGTTGTGTTAAGCTCATGTCAGCATCGATACTGTGACTGACATGTTTTGGTATTTTATCTTCCATCTGCTTCCTGGATGGAAAAAGGCAGTTAGTTGAATTTTCACCCCACCCACAAAAAACACCCTATAAACCTTTCTGCAGGGGGGGAAATTTGCGTGGCTGATTCCTGAATTCCTCTTGAGTAGCCCCACAGTACAGGTTGTCCTCGGCTTTAACGGCTCTGAAAAAGGGACCCTTTTTCACACTTAACGACCGCTGCACATCCACAGGGTCGCGTGATCGAAACTCAGAGGCTCGGCAACTGACTCGTATTTACGACGGTTTCAGTGTCCCGGGGGGGGGGGTCACGTGATCTCCTTTTGCCACCTTCTGACAAGCAAAGTCTATGAGGGAAGCCAGATTCACTTAACGACCGGGTTACTTACTCAACCGCTGCAGTGATTCGCTTAGCAATTGTGGCAGGAAAGGTTGTAAAATGGGGGAAAACTCACTTAACAACTTGTCTTGCTTATCAATACAAATCTTGGGCTCAACTTCATGAAAGCCGGCTGGGTGACTTTGGGCCAATCGGCTGGAGACGGTGAGTTCTAGTCCCGCCTTAGGCATGAATGCTGGCTGGGTGACTTTGGGCCAATCACCAGGCGACAGTGAGTTCTAGTCCCACCTTAGGCATGAAAGTTGACCGGGTGGTTTTTGGGCCAATCACCAGGCGACGGTGAGTTCTAGTCCCGCCTTAGGCATGAAAGCCCGCTGGGTGGCCTTGGGCCAATCACCAGGCGACGGTGAGTTCTAGTCCCGCCTTAGGCATGAATGCCGGCTGGGTGACTTTGGGCCAATCACCAGGCGACGGTGAGTTCTAGTCCCGCCTTAGGCATGAAAGTTGACTGGGTGATTTTTGGGCCAATCACCAGGAGACTGGGAGTTCTAGTCCCGCCTTAGGTATAAGAGCCAGCTGGGTGATTTTGAGCCAGTCCCTCTCCCTCCCCCCAGCCCACCTCACAGGGCTGTTGTGGGGACAATAGGAGAAAGGTTTAGGTACCTTCACCGCTACCTTGAGTTATATGTAAAAAATAATAAACCAACCGACCTAACAAACCAGGATCCTGCCTCCTGGCTTCCAGTATTTACCCCCCCCCCCCCCGCCTAAGGCCGGACCTCCTGGTGCTGCACCCCTGACCAGGCCCCCTCCCCCCCAAAGGAGCAACCTGACCAGGTGGGCTCGGATTGCAAATAGATTTAATGCACAAAATAGCCGCTCTTCTCCTCCCTTCAAAATGCCCATGGAGGCTTCCTCTTCCTCCGTTTCTTGCGGTCATTTCCGGCCCGGCCCGGCCCAGGCTTGGTCCTTGACCCTTCCAGTGGAACCAGGCCAGGCAGAGACCCAGGCCCAGCTGTGGGTGGAGTCCCTGGTTGCCTGGCCTCCCTTGAAGGGGCACCGTAGACCAAGTCGCTAGTCCTCAGCAGTTTAAGGCACACCAGCAGCCACGCAGCCGGACAAAAGACCCCCTTTTTTTTTTTTGGCGTCCTCTCCGCTGCGGAGGGGGGGGACGGACGGGGAGGGGGGTGTCGTCTCCTTGGGACTTCAGTCGATCAAGTACTTCTTCTCGTCGTCCGAACCCGGCCCGCGGCTGCCCGGGCAGAAGTCGGAGCGCAGCAGGCGCGAGAAGTACATGAGGATCATGGCGTCCAGCAGGATGAGGTTGACCATGAGGAAGGCGCCCTGGCCTCGCATCTCCACGTTTCGCACGAAGAACCACGTCAGGTAGGACTGGGGGGCCAGGCGGAAGAAGAAGTAGGCCGCCAGGTTGGCGTACTTGTTCACCTCGTAGAAGGTGGGGAAGGGCAGCTTGCCCAGCCGGACCATCATCCTCATGGTCAGGAAAATGTTGCTGACCTCCACGAACATGGACAGCAGCCCGGCCGCCACAAAGCGGTTCAAGAAGATCCCGGACAGCAAACCAGTCGCGGCCTGCGAGGAGATCAAATTTGGGATGGGTGTGTGTGTGTCAGAAAGAATAAATAAATAAATAAATAATAAAGTTGGAAGGGACCTTGGAGGTCATCTAGTCCAACCCCCTGCCCAGGTAGGAAACCCTACATATCATTTCGGACCAATGGCTGTCCAGTCTCTTCTTAAAAACTTCCACTGTTGGAGCATTCACTGCTTCTGGAGGCAGGTTGTTAATAATAATAATAAAGTTGGAAGGGACCTTGGAGGTCATCTAGTCCAACCCCCTGCCCAGGCATGAAAAAGAAGGACCCCCCGTTCTTTTTGAAGAGGGGGGGGGTCAAGCTATTCTCCAAAGCACCAGAAGGGAAGACAAGAAACAACGGGTGGAAACAAAGATAAAAGAGAGAAGCAACCTGGGATTAAGGAGGGATTTCTTAACAGTGAGAACAATTAACCAGTGGAACAGCTTGCCACCAGAAGTTGTGGGTGCTCCATCACTGGAGTTCTTTAGGAAGAGATTGGACAGCCATTTTGTCCTCCAAGGTCCCTTCCAACTCCTGTTATTCTGTTCCTCCTCCTCCTCTCCATAAACCCCTCTCTAACACTGATGAGGTACCCTAGTTGGGTTATGAAACGTCTGCAACCACCAAGCTCAGACAGCACCAAAGACCCCACAGGCCAATCACCAGGAGACGGTGAGTTCCAGTCCCACCTTAGACACGAAAGCCAGCTGGGTGACCTTGGGCTAGTGATTCTCTCTCAGCCCCAACCTACCTTATAGGGTTGTTGTTGTGGGGAAAATAGGAGGAGGAAAGAGGAACGCTTGCCACCTTGAGTTTCTTCCACAGCAACCAAGGTGGGATGGAAGTCAAGTCAGGTCAAATCAAATGGCCCCCAATAAATAAGAGTAAAAGGAAACTGAGATGGGGCGGACTTGACCTTAAGGTCTTCCCTCCTGAAGCCTCCTTGCCTTCCGACCGCAGGGAAGGGGAAAAGCCAGTTGCAGAGCGGCTTCTGCCTGACGTAAATTTATTTGGGGTTAAGCAACACTGTCCTTGGGGCAGGGAAGGAGGAACGGAGATTAAGGGCAGCTGATAAGGGTGAAGGAAATAAAAAGCAAGGGAAATACAAGGAGGTTGACTGCCTCTTTTTTGTAAAAATAATGAAGGCAGGATAAAAGCACTGTGAAGTTAAAGCAAAGCAAAGCAAAAGTAAAAGTAAAGTAAAGTAAATAGTAAAAGTAAAGTAAAGGTAAAAGTAGGGTAAAGCAAAGCAAAGTAAAAGTAAAGTAAAATAAAGTAAAAATAAAGTAAAAGTAAAGTAAAATAAAGTAAAACTAAAAAAGTAAAAGTAAAGTAAAAGTAAAAGAAAAGTAAAAAAGTAAAAGTAAAAGGAAGTAAAAGTAAAGTAAAAAAGTAAAAGTAAAGTAAAGTAATAGTAAAGTAAAGGTAAAAGTAGGGTAAAGCAAAGTAAAAGTAAAGTAAAATAAAGTAAAAATAAAGTAAAAGTAAAGTAAAATAAAGTAAAACTAAAAAAGTAAAAGTAAAAGAAAAAGAAAAGTAAAAGAAAAGTAAAAAAGTAAAAGTAAAAGGAAGTAAAAGTAAAGTAAAAAAGGAAAAGCAAAGCAAAGCAAAGTAAAATAAAGTAAAAGTAAAAGAAAGGTAAAAAAGTAAAAGTAAAAGTAAAGTGTATGGTAAAAAGTAAAATAAAATAAAGTAGAATATAGAATAAGAGAGTTGGAAGGGACCTCAGAGGTCATCTAGTCCAGCCCCCTGCTCTACCGGGAGACAAACAAATGCTTGTCCAATCTCTTCTTGAAAACCTCCCACGATGGAGCACCCACAGCATCTGAGGGCTATTCCATTGGCTGCTAAAGTTAATAAAAAGTAAACTAAAAAGTGAAGTAAAAGTAAAGTAGAAAGGTAAAAAAAGCAAAGTAAAAAATAAGGTAAAAAAAGCAAAGTACAAAGCAAGGAACAAGGTAAAAAGTAAAAAAATAAAACAAAGTAAAAAATGGATACACCAAATATCAAAGATAGTAAAAAGCAAACTGAAAAGTTAAGTAAAAGTAAAGCAGAAAGTAAAGAACAAGTTAAAAAATAAAATAAAATAAAGCAAAGAGTAAGGGGAAAAAAAGGAAAGGGAAAATAAGATAAGATAAGATAACCTTTATTGTCATTTTTTTTTTTACCGTGGGCACAACGGCACACATCAAAAAATGAAATTTAGTTGCCCGCTCTCAAAGTGAAACACATACATGACGCAGACCTAAACATACTATGAACAACATATGTATAGACCCACATCCCTACATATACGTAGCAAATAAATATTAAATACTGTCCATCTTGAATATATAACGGAAGGAGGAAGCTTGAGAGGAAAAAGTAAGGGAAAAACTAAAGTAGAAAATGAAGTGTAGCCGGGAGGTTTCTCAGACCAAAAAAACAGAGGCCGGCATCGGATTCAGGAACCCCCCCTCCTGCCTCTAGAAACGAACTCCGGATCAAGAGGAAGCATCCAGAAGTACCAGGGCTCCCCCCATCCCCCTCCGCACCTCCCAGCCCAAGAAAGCAGGACAGCCCCCCCCCCCGCTCCCTGAAGCCCCCTGGCCAGGCTGCCCCGCTGCCCGTCCCAAGGAAGAGGACATGGCTGGGGTCCCTCTGCTGCCCAGGCTCCTCTCCCGGGCTCTGCGCCCACCTCGCCCTTTATCTACACCAGGGGTGGGCAACCTTGGCTCTTTTATGACTGGTGGACTTCAACTCCCAGAATTCCTGAGCCAGCTGTGCTGAGGGGAAAGGGAGAGGTTTCCAAGCTGAGCCAGGCTGGCTGAGGAATTCTGGGAGTTGAAGTCCAGGGATAGGCCAAGGTTGCCTATCCCTGCCCTAGGCCAGAGGTAGGGAACCACAACTGTTTTATGACCTGTGGACTTCAACTCCCAGAATTCCTGAGCCAGCCATGCTGAGGGGAAAGGGAGAGGTTTCCAAGCTGAGCCAGGCTGGCTCAGGAATTCTGGGAGTTGAAGTCCACCAGTCATGAAGGGGCCAAAGTTTCCCTCATGCTGGCTCAGGAATTGTGGGAGTTGAAGTCCACGAGTCATGAAGGGGGCCATAGTTGCCCCCAAGCTGGCTCAGGAATTCTGGGAGTTGAAGTCCACGAGTCATGAAGGGGGCCATAGTTGCCCCCAAGCTGGCTCAGGAATTCTGGGAGTTGAAGTCCACGAGTCATGAAGGGGCCACAGTTCCCCCATGCTGGCTCAGGAATTCTGGGAGTTGAAGTCCACCAGTCATAAAAGAGCCAAGATTGCCTACCCCTGGCCTGCACCCAACCCAACATGGATTCCTGGCTTTACGACGGTTCGCTTAGCAACGGTTTGAGGTTAGGATGGACCCCGAAAGAGGAACCCATAACACTGATCTGAAGTTCTGATGGCTGATTTTCCCCCCCTCCCCCGGTCATGTGACTGCATTTTGGGCACCCCGCAACCGACCTGCACTTAAATGGCCATTTGTGGTCACCTGTCTGGGATTTATGACCTTTTTTTCAGCCTTTGCAGGTAGTCCTCGGCTTACAACCACGACCACGCCCGAAAATATTTCTTGCTAGGCGAGGCGTTTGTTAAGTGAATTTTGCCCCGTTTTACGACCTTTCTTGCCAGTCGTTAAGTGAATCACCACAGCTCTTTAAGTCAATAACACGGTTGTGAGTGAATCTGACCGTCCCCCTAGGACGGTATTGCTTGTCAGAAGGTCACGTGACCTCCGGGACATTGTGACTGTCATAAATAGGAATCAGTCATCAGGCGTCTGAATTTGGCTCATGGGGATGATGCCGTGACGGTTGCTAAGTGTGAAAAACAGCCATACAGTCCCTTTTTTCAGTGCCGTTGTAACTTTGAACGGTCACTAAACGAACTGTCGTAGGTCGAGGACTGCCCGTATTACCAGTTTCTGCAAAAATCCCCGCCCCATAATGAACAAAAGGTTTCAATTAAACGGCAGCAAAAAAATTAAAAATAAATAAAATCGGTCACATCATGACCTGCTTAACGCCCTTAATTACGGCCGTTAAGTCGAGGACTCCCTGGAATGCAAGCAGATCATGCCCTCCTCCTGCCCCCCCCGAAGCCCCCACTACTTGCCACGGCGTGGTGGATCAGATACTCCCAGGAGGCCCTGGACTGGCGGCAGACGATGATGTCCAGAGAGTCGTGGATGAAATAGCCTGGAAAGGAAGCAAAAGGGGGGGGCAGCCCCCATATTTTATATTTGAATCTGGTGTGAAACTGGAGGGGGGGGGAGAAACAGACACCCCACCCTATCGAGAGCAGGACGGAGGCCGCCGTCAGCCGAAAGAAAGCAGCAAAAGTTGGTAGAGTGCTCTTCAACATGGAGGTTCCATCAGCCAAGGGCTGAGCGTATCCACCCTCCATTCTTTCTCACACACAACTTTTTGAAGAGTTGCATCGTCTGGAACCTCATCGAAGTCCGGCTGCAGGGGCAGTCCTTGACTTACGACCAGGGTTGGACCTAAAAGTTTCAGCTGATAGGTGGTTAAGTGAGTTTTTGCCTCGTTTTACGACCTTTCCTGCCGCAGTGGTTAAGCGAATCTGGTTTTGTCTGTCAGAAGGTCACAAAAGCGGATCCCGCAACCGTCGTAACTAGGAGTCAGTCGCCCAGCGTCTGAATTTGGATCACGTGGGATGCTGCAGCAGCTGTTAAGCGGGAGAAACGGTCCTAAAACGGCCTTTTTCAGTGCCGCTGTAACTTCGCTCATTAAACAAAGGGCTGCAAGTCGAAGACTTAACAACTGCAGTGATTCGCTTAATGTCTGTGGCAAGAAGGGTCGTAAAATGGGGCAAGCTCGTTTAACAACCGTCTTGCTTAGCCTGGAAATTCTGGGCTCAGTTGTGGACTTTCGTTAAGGACTACGGGTATATAATAAATAATAATAATAATAATAATAATAATAATAATAATAATAATAATAATAATAATAATAATAATAATAATAATAATAATAATAATAATAAAAGTTGGAAGGGACCTTGGAGGTCATCTAGTCCAACCCCCTGCTCCGGCAGGTTTAATAAATAAGTTTTAATAAATCTGCAGGGCAGCTATTTGTAGAGAAGCCGCAGATCCAGCTAGGCCCCCCCAGTCACCCCCAAACCTCCCGTCTCTCAGGAGTCAAGAGAACGGCCATTAAGCCAGGAACCTGTTTCCTCGCCTTCCCCTTCGGCCTTTCTGTCTAGTTTCACTCTGCCACAATTTGAACTCGGGGCCAGCGCCTGGATAACCCCATGAAGCTGTCTTGGCCCTTTTCTTTCAGAAACGACTTACTCTTCCCTTCTTGTTGGGTTGCGCGAGGCAGGGACCCTAAATGAGCACCTGGCAGGACTCGAACTCGGGTCTTCCACTTCAGGAGTCTCCAGCCTTGGCAACTTTAAGACTTGTGGGCTTTCGGACTTGCGGACTTCAACTCCCAGAATTCCTGTGGCTAACTTTAAGACGCGTGGACTTTAACGCCCCAGAAGGCCCCAGACAGCCGTCTTAAAATTGACTGGAGTCTTAAAGTTGTGCAGGGAATTCTGGGAGTTGAAGTCCACGCGTCTTAAAGTTGGGCAGGGAATTCTGGGAGTTGAAGTCCACGAGTCTTAAAGTTGGGCGGGGAATTCTGGGAGTTGAAGTCCACGAGTCTTAAAGTTGCAAAGATGGGGATCCCCGGGCCTACTTCATAGCCGGGGGTCTTCAGCCACTGCCCCATAGCCCAACCCCCCTAAGTGTGTCTCACCCCACTTTCAACCAGCTGCACCCAGGGCAGGACAGAAACTTATAATAATAATAATAATAATAATAATAATAATAATAATAATAATAATAGTAAAGTTGGAAGGGACCTTGAAGGTCATCTAGTCCAACCCCCTGCTCAGGCAGGAAACCCTATACCATTTCGGACAAATGGCTGTCCAGTCTCTTCTTAAAAACTTCCAGTGTTGGAGCATTCCTGCCTCCACTTCGCCCTTTTTCCGCACAGAATTCAGTCCAGCCTCATCTCCCAGTTGTGCTAAAACACACCCCCCCGCAGCTCAACCCCCTAATGGGGGGGCGAAATGCCCAGGAATTCACATCGCCATTGTCAAGAGCCCCACACAGGGTGGGGGGAGGAATATGGCAGCTCTCTGGGGAGGGGGGGGAGTGGGACGAACCACACAACTGGAACAAAAGCGCTTAATGCCCCCATTATGTTCTTCTGCACGACAACACGGCAAAGCTAAAACAACACTTTCTGCCTGGAACAGATCCTCGGGCAGCAGGTGGGCCTTTCCCACCGAGACCCCCCCCCTGCTCTTTCAAGGCCACGCCAGAGGGGGGGTATAGGGTGGGTGACCTTTGTGGGGGCCCCCCCAGCCCGTCTCTTCGGATGCCCCACTAAACAGCTCCAGCACCAGATGTTGGGCCCTTGCCCCAAAAGGCAAGTTTTCCTAGTGGCAGGACAGGTAGGTGGGCTTAAATGGGTCGGTGGGCTTCAGTGCTAAAAGCCGTGTCCGTGAAAGGCGAAAGAGTTGCCTTGTGGTAAGACGGGGGGGGGGGGGGGGGGCAACAAAGTTGACAAACAAACAGTTTCCAGGAAACCCCAGCCCCCCCCCCAGGATTCCCCTTACCTGTGGAAAAGCACAGCAACAGGTGAGCAGAAGGGGAGGTGACGTGCACCAGGTCATCCAGGGCCCCCGGCAGCTGCCACATCCTGGGGGGGGGGAGAGTCACCGAGGTCAGCAGAAAGGAGGGGAAGACCCCCACCCCAACCAGGAAGTAATTTTAGAGGAGGGGGGGGAGAGAAATGAAAAAAACCGCCTCTTGGCATTTCTTGGCCTCCTCCCCGCTTGGCCGCACCCCAAATCGGGCAACAGGTTGGCGGAAGCTTGGCAACCCTCCCCCCCAACCCCCCCACCCAGCAAAGAGGCAGCTCGAGAAAGTGAGCCCGGCTGGGAAGATGAGATAAGATTGCCCCCCCCGCTTCCCCGCCTCCCCTTAAGCCCGCTTGGGGGTCCCGGCCAACCCCAGCCCGTCCAACGAGCCGATCCCCCCCCCCCGATCGCTTCCTGGGGGTCCCGCTTCGAAGCCTCGGCGATCGTTGCTCCGCCGCGTTCCCAGCCGGGGGGGGGGCGGCCAGCCCCTCGCCCGGCGCTCTGTGCACGCCCAGAGGCTCACCCGACGACGGCCCAGAGGCCGGCCACCACGGAGTGGGCGAAGGAGACCAGCAGGTTCCTCCAGCGCCAGGTGCGGGTGGCGTCGAGGCGGACGTGGGCGGGCAGCGGGCAGCGGCTCAGCGCCCAGCGGAGGGCCGCGAAGGCCAGCGACGAGCCGGCCACCAGCCCGGCCGAGCGCAGCCACGGGGCCATCGCTCGCCCGGCCGCCCTCCCGCTCGGCTCGACGGCCCGGCCCACGTGCGCCCCCGCGGGGGAGGACCCCG